AAATATGATCTTTCTATCTGACTGGCATCCTCCTGGATCCTCTTGGCCTCTCTTTCCCCACCCCGTCATTGTTTGCATAACTTGCCTCTGACCACAGTTATTTTCCAATAATTACGTGTCCTCCAGTAAAGCCTGCTTTTCATAATTTCTAGAGAAAGTTTCTGTTGTCATTTTCTGAGACAGAGAGGAGGTGTTATTGATAATTTCACTAGCAAAACAGATAAACCCCATGACAGCTGGCAGGAGCCAATTACTAAGTTTTACAGCCTTGGAAATTGACTTCTAAGCCATCAGTAGATTGAAATTGAGTTTGTTGAGAATATTTATATGAACAAGTCTATAAACACAACATGGACATTTTCTTTCCCTTTATTTCCTTGGCTATCGAGATTACTAGCACATTGCTGAAAATAATACTATATATTCTTATTCAAAGGTAAGAATAAAATGCTAATTTCTTGAGCAACTAGATGATAGATTTTAGACAGACTGACAGAAGGTAGAAATAGATGAGAGGCAGGTAGATAAGTAGGTGATTGAAAGGCAGATAGATAGGTTTATATTTGGATGAACAAATAGATGACAGAAAGATAGTAGGTCCATGATAAATAAATCCACTTGTCTTTGAAACACCATACTCAAAAGTGGTAAATATACGTCACACAGCGTCATGTTGACTATACTCCATCACATATTCTTTTTCTGTAATTTGGTATTTCAGTAAACATAATAGGCTGAATATATGTGGAAACATTAGTGTTTAAGCCATTATAAAAGTGCTTCTATGAATAAGTATGTTAGGAAATTTAGACTTACTCTTTCTATAACATGGTGACATGATACATGACTGAAATGAAAATGAATGTGTAGAAAAATTAAAATGCACATCTTTTTTCCACATTATTCTAAGGTAAGAGTGAACAGAGATGGTTTTCTTTATAAAATTAAAGTGAACTATTACACACATAAATGGGAAAAGAGCTGATGATTTCATCGCTGTTTGACAAAATGAGACATCTTTTTTCAAATGAAAATTTATTTTTTAAAACATTGTGTAATGTATAACAGTGCATTTTAACTTAAACCTCATAATTCATATTCTTCATACAGTAACATAATATTTAAGAAGAGCAGGTGTTTGGAAAAAGAAATCAGGAAACTGTGGATATATCGATAACTTTTCAAACTAAAGACAATGTTCACATTTTCCATTCATGTGCTTAACTTACCAGAAATTTAAGCTAGACTTCAATGAAAGGAAATGTAAACTCAGCATCAACTAATGATAAATCAACAGAGAAAAATACAAGGAATTAACATATCACTTTGAAATAGGGAGAAACTTTCTATACAAAATAGAGATCCTCAATACGATATGAACTTACCCCTCAGTCACACTGCTGTGTTGTCTGCAGGCACCAGTAGGCATCTGCCCTGAGAATAGGTTATTATCATCTCTGCCCATTTTGCTAGTGTTTGGAAGTACTACATAAGTTCTACTTTGTGTGCAGAGAATGAATGAGACAGAATAAGAGAGAAAACCAGGTCCGTGAGAGGAAAGAAAAAGGCTTCCTTCACAAATCAGTACTCAGTTATTTCTGGCTCTGTGATATATAACTGTTGCTAACAATATTGTAATTGTGTCTGTCATGACCACTTGGAAGAACAGAATGCAAACATCATGTTTTAGCAACCCATCTAACAATGTGAACATATTACATGTGAAATTCAAGATAAACTCTTTCCTATGTTTTAAAGAGTTGGTTTTGGCTGATATATAATTACAATTCTATGACAACTCTCAGGGTTTGCAACCAATGAAAAAGACAGATCTAGGGTACACTGTGTGCCAATGGTCACTGAGTGGTGAATGCCCTACTACCATGATGGTTTTTCCTCTTTCCTTTTTGACTTTAATGTCCTCAAGGCTCCTGAAACCATGGCTATCTACAGGACTGTGACATCACTGCCTCTTGTCTTCGTCCACTGTGAGCTGCAGCGTTTTCTGCCATATTGAAATCTGGTGTTGATTAAGAACAAAAGCAGCAGAAATTTCCTGTGCCCTTCTAGGAAAAACCTGCCATAAATTTCCTTATAAATATTCACATTTAAAATAAAATGTACCTAGGTATTTCACCTGTATTTTACAGATTTAATCCTGAGTTAAGTTTCTATAGGATTTATTCAAAGCCCTCCTAACAAAAGTTAATACTGTTCCAAATTTAGGTAGTCGAATTTTACTGCTGTTTCTTTTCTCCAAATATGCAGACCAAATACTTACTTGATTGCTCCTTGTAAAGGCTGTTCATCTTTATTTCAGCTCAGGGAAACATTGGCATCATGAATATTTTTAAATGATCATCTTCTAAATGCTGAAATATGCATGATAATTGAGTTTTAATATTTGCATAAAGACATAAAATGTTGTATGTTAGGACATTAATCTTCAGCCAACATCTGATAGCCCAACTGCTCAGATTTAGTAATGGCCATGGAATATTTCTGACATTCATACAGCTTTTGCTGAAATCCTCATATCTTATCCCTATTTTAGATTTAATGATGCTTTTCAATAGCAATAACAAAATGTAAAATATTAGAAGCCTTCCTATCAGAATATAAGAAGGTGTAACTGGAAAAATGTGTAAAGGACAGCAACAAAATTTAAAGTTAAAGTCAAAGCTAAAGGAATAAAAAAATATACAGTTGTATGCACAAAGAAAACCATGGGATGCTAGTAGAGAGTACTTTGGGATAGCACAAAAATATTAAATTATACTTAGTGATCTCAGAATAAGCTAATAGGGAAATATAAGTGCTTAATTTGTGGACTATACAAAATATTTTATATCACAAACAATTACTTTGGTGACTGAAGGAGAAAGATGTCATCACTGCTTTTCAAACTTCAATATGCATTCAAGCCATCTTAGATCTTGCGAAAATGTAGATTATTGTTTGGTAAACCTGTGAGTGTCAACCTGACACTATACTTTGAACATATACCAACTAATGGTTATGCGTTTTCTAAGGGTTTAAGAAGGCATTGATTTCTAATAAATTTAGATAAATGAGATGTTGAGATTTGATCTCAAATACATTCAGAAATCTGAAATAAAAACAGATTAGTCATAAAAGTTGGAAATTTTGTTAATGTAATTTTCTTATCTTGGAAATAAAGTAACATGTAAAAACCAGTTTTTAAATGTGAAGCATGTAAGGCTGATAAATAATAATGCATTATTTACTTCTTCAACCGTAGACTAAACATGCATCAGGGAATTTAGTTGAAATCTGAACTTTTTCAATACAGTGCAAAATTTAAAGTTAACTCTATCTAGATCATACTAAAGACATATTTGATAGAATTCTGAATTCTCTTAGGCTATATTGCTTCATTCTTCTACAGTTGAAGAATGTGTAACACACAAGGTGATTTTTAAAGGATTTTTTTTGTTTCTGTTAGTGTTAAAATGCTGTGCTTTTTTCAAAGGTGAAAAATAAAGAACATATTCTTTGATTAAAAAATGACAAGGCAATCATTTTCTGGCTCTGGACTGTAGAGTATAAATATGGGCATTAAAATAATCTATAAATCAACTAGAGCCGAGAGAGGTTGGATGCACCAATGCAATGAAGCTGTGGATTTATAGCCTGCATAGGACTTTCACATATCTGACCCTGACAAATTCCTGTATGCTGGCCTTATGAAATATTCATGTTCAGTGACATTAATTGAGACTTCTCTGGCCTGCCACTTCGTCCACTGAACCTCGGTTCTAAATGCATTACTGCTTATTCGACCCTTTACACTTCTCAGTAAACTTCTGCTGAGAGTGAAGTTTCTAGGTTGCTCCAAACAATTATTGAGTTTCATGTGGGTAAATTATTTGCTGTGTTTTGGATGGATAGAGTGTACGTGGAGGTGTGTGTGTTTGGGGCGGGGGTAAAGATGTGAATTTTATTTTTATAAAAGCTATGACCTCAAGTATCCTTTTCTAAGGACAACATGTTCCTTCAAATCTGTAAAACTTAATAATGGGTAATAAGGAAAGTAACTTCATGATTGAACATAAAATCTTACAAGTGATGTCCATATGTACTGTTACTTTCCAAGTCTATTTTTCATGTTAGAAAGTAAGCACAGTCAGACAATATCTGTATAAATCAGATTCCTATAAAAATCCTTAACTCCATTTGTCCATAGAAAATAAAATTACATGTACTGAAAAAAATGTGCTGTGTTCTAGAAATGGAGCACAATCATTTTAACCAAAAATATAAATGATTTCTTAGTAAGTTATTTATTAAAATGAAAAATAAGTCAAGATCCAAGAAAACGGCTAAATGCTTAAACGATATGTTGTTTAGTGAATGTCCATAAAGATTTTCTAGGGTGAAGAATTAATTCATACAAATGTAAGTGCAAATCTCTCTTTTTAATTTTAAAGCATATCATTCAAAGTTTTAGCTTGTGTGCATGATAGAAACCCCATACACTGTGTTCTGTGACAATACAAAGCTCAGTTCATTAAAAACTGAATTAAAAATTAAAATAACTCTAAAAACAGGTCAGAGTTTTGTCATTGGTATGTGGAGGCTATTCCACGGACCCATCCAGAGCTCCTCCTCGTCTGATGGTGTGTGGTCGCTGTGGAGGTCCACCGTCTCTCTGGTGATCTTGCTGTCCACCATGGACTCCTGCTCAGCTGTGTCCTTCAGTCTGGTCCCTGGTGGCTTCACTGCTGACCGGTCAGCCACCACCGGGCATGGGGCGAACGTGACCAGAGTTGGTCTTCGGTTCACTTTCTCCGTGGAAAATGGCCCCTCGGACAGTGTGTTCAGGGGCACTTTCTCCTCGTGTGTCACTGCCAAATTGTCTAGTTTCTTAAAGTGCCTCCCCATCCTCACAGGGGACGGGACTTTCAAGCTATCAGGGAGGCAGGCACGGCGTGTTCTCACCACAGAGCCATTCTGTGCGATGTAGATGTTGCCGTTGACGCTGCTGTGGCTGCAGGGCTTTTGAGGATGGCTTTTCTGACACTCGGGAGCACTGTCTTCCCCTGTGGAGCTGCTTTCGTATTCTCGGTCAACCACTAGCTTGATCATCCTTTTTCTTGACCACTGAGAAAATGAAAAGCAACAACACGCCAGTCATTCTCAAAAGGTCCATGCACCCAAAACAGTATTTGGAAAGGTGTCACAGTAAACCATCAAGAGGGAGACCAGGCCCCGTCCTTTCACCCACTCTGTACTCAAAGTTTAAAATATTTGAGTAAAGTATTACTGAGCTTGCAAATAGCATAACAGGAAAACTTTCTTTACATAAAAATACTCTGCAATATGAAAACAAAAATGTCCTATCCATATTTAGCTAAGGATCCAAGCCTTTGTCTTAGAGCTGCTCAACCATGCAAAGGAAGTTGCATGGGAACCATGGCCAGACGTCATATATTGTGTTCATCTTAATGCCTCTCCTGATAGTTTTAAGATATTTCTAGACGCACACAATTTTAATTTGTAACTCATTCAATCTTGTTGGTCAGATAAAGCATCTTGGTTTTCTGGGTTATCTCTCTTAAACTTAGCTTACTTAAAGGAAAATATCTGCCCATTGTGCATGATTATATAGGACACAAAACAGAAATGCTCCTTTTTCAAGCAACTGAAATACAATGAACATTTATTCCAACTCAGTTGTCTTTTACCAACTAGCATCAGAAATGGCCAGGAGCAAATGTTAAACAATACTGCACTATTCATTCTAAAAACAGTAAGGCAATTTTTGGTCAATTTGACCTCTATATACTTTATGGTGAGTAAATCACACTTTCTGGTCTCCAGATGAGTACTTTAAATGATTGTGTGTACTTACCCAGAGGAGAGGTTGTAACCATTACAATAATTTTTTAATTCAATTAACTCATATCCACCCAGAAAATAAATTGTAGTCTCTTTTAATTTTTAAAAGTCTGCTTCATTTAACTCCTAGTGTTTGAAAGTGGTGGATACAGAACTAGATGAATGTAGGATCTTTGATAATGCCTTCGCCAGGGGCCAAACTTTGCAGAAGCAAGTAGTGATCTAGTCTGCTGCTGCTTGCCATTGCTAGTGTTTGCGCTACCAAAATGGCATATACTGCATGCATGTGTGTGTATATCTTCCATCGCAATAAACAGGTATCACTGAGGACACTACTTTGTGCAGTAAAAATTACAGAAAACAGTCACTACTTATTAGCTGGCATGTTTTCCTATTTGCCAGTATAGAAAAAAATAGTTTTGATAGAACATGTTCCAACATGCATATCTATTTTTGGTAGCATGTATAGCCACTTTTTTTTTTTTTTAGCATACTTTTGATCTTGTCAGAGCAAAATTAAGGCTAATTTCCACCCTGCCAAGAGTTGTTTCAGAGAGCACACAGAAGGCACAGCACACAGGCGCACACATCACAGCAAACCTCCACCTACTCTGAGCTCTTCTAAAGGGCTGTGCTGTCACCTTCGGAGTTCGCTCCTGGAGACTTCCTTTGGTCTGTGTCCCTGCGTCTGACATAGTCTGGTACCTGGAAGCCCCACGGACCTCCAGATAGACTCTCGCTAGTGCTGCTGCTGCTGCTGCCGCCGGCTTCTGACTCCTCCTCACTCTCCACACCTCCCTCCACGGAGGCTGATCGTGCGCTTCCTTCCTCCAGGACATCTCCAGCTTCCAGGTCTACGGACTCCTCCGCGGGGAACGGCTCACTTTCCTCCCCTTCTGGGTGCGCCTCCTCTTCCTCGTCCCTGGGAGGTGCTTCCTGCTCTGGAGGCGGCTCCTCTCTCGCGCCTTTAACCTCCCTGACCTCTGCCGCGGGCCTTCTTCTCGCTAGCACGATATTTTTTCTCGCCTTTTCTGCTTCTGACTCGGTGGACTCCGACTCCTCTGACTCCGGGGTGGAGCTCTCCTCCTCCTCGGACTGGGTCTCCGACTCCGACTCTTCGGTGGTTTCCGACCCACTGAACTCAGACTCCGTTTCCGTGTACTCGGTGTAGTCACTGGACTCCTCCTCGGACTCCACGGTGCTTTCAGTAGCTTCCTCTTGGTCAAGAGTCAGTTTCAGATAATCCTTGTCTTCTTCCTCCAGGGGCCTTCTCCATGCCTCGTCCTCAAGGTCGGTGCCTCGTCTCTCAGCAAGTCCTCTGACTTTCTTAAAAATCATAGGGAATATCCTGGCCCTCTTCCAGGCCGGGTACGTGGGCTCGGCTGCCGGCGGCTTTTCGACAGTCACCACTACCTCCTCCTCACTAGGCTCTCTAATTTCAACTTTTGGTTTTTTTATTTTCTCTGGCTTTTCCTGAAAATTTTGAAAACGCAATTTAAATGACGGGTTGGGTATAGTTAGCTGATGGCTTTGTCCCTCATAGGTTAAGCAGAAATTAATATTTTGGATGATAGCCTCACACAAGTGATGTTTCCATAAAGAAAAACAAAATTTTGTAGACAAGCTGGCTGGCAGACATTAGATTATTTTATTGTTGGCTTTATAGTCTAGTATCAAAAATGTAATGAGTTCTCTTTTCATAGTTTCTTTTATTTCTTAGATTAAGAAAGAATAATCATTGCCTTTTAAATTTTCTCTTAATCTAGATAATAGCTTGTGAGCTTTGTGCCAAGTCTCAGAATTTTTAAAAATAATGAAAACATGTTACTTAACTTTAAAGCTTAGGGAAAATCTAACTATCTTATTGAATTTTAAACCAGTTAGAAATGCAATAACAATAACACTGATTTCTTGGAGGTAGAGGATTATTTGCAAAATAAAAATTTCAGGCAAAGTGTAAAAAATTGAAAGAAATGACTCAGGCTATTTTAAAAATGAATTACATGATATTTAAAAGATACTGGTGAATATTGTTTACTCTCTGGTAAAGGCTGATTATATTTTTCATGATTTTTAGTAATGCTATAGTGCAGAAACAAAAGTATCCACATGTTCTATATTTTTTATATACTTGGTTATAATAATTTCTTTATAGAGCAATATTTGGGAATTAGAAAACATATGTTATTGTAACATCTTCCAGACATTTAAAGTTTTATGTAGAAGGACATAAACTTTAAAGAAGGAATTTCCTTCTATAGACAAGGGGGATGGAATGTCCAGCAGTGGTACATTTCTTGGAAAGACAATAGTAAATGAGTGGGTGCTCTGGCAAGTGGACTGCTCTACTGCTGGTTAGTCGAACAGGACTGAAAGCATTGCAGTACTGCTACGTCAAACGGCTTCATCAGTTCTGGTACTCACCTCTTCTTCCTCATATTCCTCCTCAGCTTCACCGACCACCTCACAGTACTCCTCCTGCCCAGCTGGGGGCAGCAGTCGGCGGCGACTTCCATATTGTGGCATTTCGTACCTGCAACACAAACTTGCAACCTGAGACTTTTTTCATGTGTGTGGAATCTAACATAATGATCTCTGCTTTCTTCTTTTTCTTCATCATTTAGTCAATAGGTATTTAAAGAAGATTGGTTAGGAGCCTAAAAATTCCAAAACTACCGGCAAAAAATTACTCCCTGGTGGCCAGACTGTTCCCACAAATGTTCCCTGGCCCTTCAGGGAAGAGAACTGTTATTTCACATGTAAGTTTTGGGAAAGATTAGAATTGGGGAAAAAAGTTGTGACACTTCATGACTAACTGAAGAACCCAGGGCACAAGGGAGGATCTTTATACAAGTGTGTATCTCATCCAGGATGTGACATGTATGTTCTATAAGAAAGTTTACATTGAACACGGCCTGCATGGTATTTACCTACTTCTGTATTTTTCAAAGCAGTTAACTGATGAGTACAGAATTAACTCTTTACATACTTGTTATAGTATTTAAATTTTCTGTTTTTAACTGCTCTAAGGCAAAACTTCAGGTAAATTAGATAAAATGCTAAGCACAACATATGATTTAAATGGTGAATTCAGGAATTGAGCAAATATGTTTGACTTCTATTTTCCACTTATAATTATGAATACTCTCATCATATTTTTAG